GAGCACAGGCAGGGGTGGGGAGTGAGCTGTCAGAAGGATGAAAGAGAGAGGCAGACATTTTTGTCAATTTTACTCTGGTTTCCAAATGTATTATATAAGGTAACTCTTCCAGCAAGCCCAGAATTTCATGGCAATAGTTGTCACACCCTCTGAAATCTGTCAGCATTTAAAGCTGACAGAGGCCATGCCCTTAGCTTTGCCATTGGAGAATGCCTTGGTTTCTTTCCAAGTCATGTCTGTGAATTTAGACAGATGTAGTGATAAAACTATTTGTTGAGTGGATATAAGGTTCACGAAACATCATATTGGTCTCCTCTTTACCAGTTAGAAGCAGAAAAACAAAGCTGAATGCAAATGAGAATTTCAATTAGAAAATTGTGTCCTGGCAGCACTGGGGGGACAGCAGAGGGAGATCAGGTAATTTGACAGAAACAGGCCTTCCATGTTGATAACGGAAATAATGAATAAATGTGGGAGCTGCTTTAGCTGAGTTACACTCTACTTAAATTCTTTCCACAAATTTCCAGCCAATAACTCAATGTCTGAAATTCTTTCTTCTCTAAAAACACTACCTTGTACCTGGAAATCAAGATTCAAGATTTTTCTTTTTCTCCAGAGAGAATATTTCCCCAATTACTGAAGGGATACACTTTTCCACCTGGACTTCATTTCTGTTAACTATATTGACTCTCATAAAATGGACTAAAATTATTTTTGCTGCTCACTTCTGCATAAAAATTCCATTGCTATGTATCATGTCTAGCCTCTTTTGTTAAACTTATTAGCACCACAGTGTCCAAGTCTGGCTCAAAGGGCAGAGGCACACACAAGATCTGAAATGTCCACCAGAGAAGTTCAAATCTGACCCTCTGAGGCTGGCTTAGCGGCGAATTCAAGTCTTTAACAGGAATTTGGGAGTTTTGAGCCCCTTAAAGCTCCATCTGGATCTATTTTTTACAAAGTAACAGAGGCCTTTCTTTGGCATTTTACCAAATGTGGGTTTTCACCCTGAGCATAAGCAGGCGGTCTGGTGCCCTGCGGAACCATCCTGGAAACATTACATTGGAATAGCAATCATGGTCGCTGAGCATCAGAATGGAAAAGTCTGGTTCCTCTTCTAGGGGAACTTCAATTTGTACTTGTATTTCTCTCAAATCTGGTGGAGTCACATGGCAGATATTCTTCAGGTTGTATCATCCAGAAAAGTGCACCTGGTTTTGTTGCCACCAGGTCTTATCTTCAAAAAGCTGAGGAAGCAGGAAAGGCTAAGAGAGAAACTGGCTTCCACTGTGTTCCTGAGCACCCTTGAAACAGTGGGGTGCACCAGATCCTCCAGACATGCTTTGAATGTGGTGATGATGTCTGAGTTTCCATAAAATGGGAATGCTTACTGCTGAAATTGCCCTGGCATGAGATCATCATGACAATTAAGTAAACACAAAAGATGGCTCACCACAATCAAAATTTTGTTTTAATAGAATTAGAGTGACATTGGGTTTGTGGGCCATAAATCTAAAAGTGAAAGTAACTCCAGAGCAAACAGTATGTGAGAAATTACGTGAGGTGAGGAGGTGGGCTGACACTAGGGCGTGTCAGAGGGGCAACCCGTACCTCCCTGACTGCCCATCACCCTGTGGGCCATAATAAACAACAGAGTTTTCTTAAGTATCGCTAAATGCGTATTCACCTTGGCTCTCGAACTGAACAAGTTCTTGTGTCTTCATTTTACCTTGTCAAGGTGAATACTGTCACGCCTACAAACACCATTTCCAGTTTGAGAATGTGTTTAAGAAACACATTTGTTTTTCCTAAAATAGAGATGTTTGCCCATTAAGGAAGTACTAACATGGTAGCTTTCTCTACATGTTATTTTGCCAATTAATCATTCATCTTTTGTATCTTAGTTTGGCAACAATTTTGCTTTTACTCATTACAATTGTCCAAAAATAGCAAATTATTTGAGCTTCGGCTAGCGACACAATGCTAGGCACTGAAAGTACACAGAATACGCACAAGGGAATCCCCTGTTCATTAAAGAATTGCAAAGTGGCTGTGAACACAGGATATATAAACAAAATGCTATGGAGCAATATGAGGAAGCAGCGTCTGGATTACTAATGCTGAAAGAGTTCGAAAGATATAGTGGCCACCAAAAGTGGAAGACTTCTCAGAGATCAAGCTTCAACCTGTGTAAGTATGCATGATGTGTTTTTGTTTGGGGATTGGGGTACAGATCAGGGTAAAGCAGTGGTAGTGATGGTGTATATGAATTCAGTGCACATGTGTGTAAGGCAAGGAATGGACACAGGGCTGGACCTAGAAAGGTACATGCCATTTTCTGCGATCCATCAGCTTATTTGTGGGTAACAGAAGGTGTGTCCATGATGGATGGATGCCGAGAAATACCTCAAACTGTATCCTGGAGGAAAAACTAGTCCTGATAAGGGTCAAAGAAACAATAATTCTATGGTCAAATAACCATAAGAAATGCTGAAACCAGACCCTCTTTTTGAAAACATAAGGGCAAATGTATATAGAAATTTTTTGGCATACCAGGCCTCATTCTCAAGAAGAGAACTTTTTATCCCTATTCACAAATTTTGAAAACACTGGTTCAGAGAGATATATAAAAATGCCAATTGTTTGGTCTAGAAAGAGTGAACATCAACCTAAAGTAATTAAATATGATCAAAATCTTTTCTGAGCATATTGGAAACAGGCACCAAGTGGTATTTTAGAAAAATTAATCTAGTAAGTTTTAGAATGTGGAATAAGAAGGACTAGAACCAGCAGACTGTTCTAAATATTTGCTCTAAATACTTTCTAGCATGATTTACAAAGTATTGGGAGTTTTGTTTACTTGCTTTTCAAAATTTTTCTCTTTAGCTGCAGACTTTTATCTATTTTAAGTTTTTTAATTAAATATAATGGGGTGACAATGGTTAATAAGATCATATAGGTATCAAGTGTACAATTCTATGAAGATTGGATAAAGAAGATGTGGTACCTAGTAGGTTTACAGTTCTGAGTATGGGAAAGAGTTTATTATTGTATTATTATTTATTAATTATTGTATTTTCCATACAAACACCTGTAAACCTATTTTGCCCCACTCTGTGTATACAATGGACTACTTCTTTAAATAAAATATTATTAAAAATCCCAATAAATAAAAATAAAAGTAAAACTGATATGAATAATGGAGGAGATAAACAGCGTTTCTGAATAAGAGCAAGAAAACAACTGACTTACAATATGTGAATATGGGGAGAAAATCAAGACAGATCTGAAAATTATAACTTCACAAGTTCACAGGAAATAATTTTCAAGTTGCAATAATGCTAACTTGCCCATGAACTAAAGAAAACAAAAGTAATCTAAGAGTTACTAAAACAGGATCTCATGGAGCTAAAAATAAATTTAGGCCTCAAGCTCCACTGAAGGCAACCAATGAAGAAATCCCTGTCTTTCAGGGATTAGAATTTAAAAAGAGCCATTTTAGGTTTATTTATTTCTTATTATCCTCTCTTGAGCCTCTAATTTTAGTGTCCCTCCTCATTTTTCCTCACCTTTCTGTTTTCTCTTTCTGCCATTTCTCTCTTCTTAAAATATGTCATGTTTACTTCACCTTTTGAAAATTCTTGCACAGTACCGTGAGATTCTCAATGACAAAACAGACATCAACAATATGACAAGGTAATAAGCATAGAAAATGATGTGCATAGTATTATTTTGGTAGTGGGATTTTTGCTTGTTTTTGTCAATGAATATCTAGATTGACATGAGAGAAAATTCTCAAAATGAGAACCATTTCTGCAATGGAGGCTGATTTGACACTAGACAAGGTGAAATGAAGATTTTGGCTCTTGATCAGGTAGAACTTTGCAAATAATGCTTAGCCTATAAGCAAACATTTAAGAGTTCTAATTGTGAGGCAGACAAGAATGGCCATAGCAGGGATAATGGTGTGGAAGCTTCCATATTGCGCTTCCACAAACACAGCCTGTAATGATATCCAAAGAGAAAAAAAGGCATCCTTAACTTACTAAATAATGTGACAGAATCCTGCCCCATTTAATTTTATTCAGGCCTACATTTTTCATTTTATTCTCAACAAAACCTTCCAAAGAAATACCAGATTAAAAAGAATTAAATTTCCTACCTCTGACATCAATCTAGCTATCCCTCCCCTACAGTAATGACCTTAAACTATTTCTTTACATATGTTCATATTTGATTTCCCAGATAATAGTCTCAATATGAGAATTTGAGTTCCAAAAGATTGTAATCTATTTTTACTTGATCAGAAAACTCTACAATGACAAATAAACTCCATTTTGCCTTAATATTCTAGAACAGATTTGTTAACAGCCTGAGAAAAATTATAGGGAAATGTCACTGTAGAGGAAGTATATTTTAGAGTTTTAGGCTAGTAAAAACAAATAATATAAAATATTTTCTTCTATTGCTAAGTGAAGCAGTCACTACTTAAAAAAATTCATCAGTATCAAAAAATTATTTTCTGCAGTTTTTTAAAGTTATTTGTTTTTATTAATAATCACTTCTTTGGATTTTTAAAATGTAAATATACAGATATATGCAAGTGTTTGCATTTTAATATATATTATTTTAAAATTCACAACAAAACAATGACAATGTTAGGTTTTATATATAGTATAATTCATCTAAGAGAAAAATCTGACTTTATTTTTTAAAAAGGAGGTCAAATCATTCTAGAGAAAATTTTCCATTTAATAAAAAACATTAAACCACAGTGTATATAACCATTAAACATGATATCTAATATAACAACATTTAAGAACACAAAAGAATATCTAAGCACCTTGAGATTCCTCAATGGCATTTGACCCATGTTTTGAGTGTCTTTAAATCTCAGCAAGCTATATCCATCTGAAAAATCTCTTATTTTTTTCTGTTAATCTTGCCTTTAACAAAAAAATAAAGAAATACAAATAATATCAAAAGCTAGATCTACTTACCATAAATGCCTGTTGAAATACAGGGAAATGCCTGTGAATAAACCACAAAAATAACAATAAATTTTAAATAAACAACTCTGCTAGACTCCAACATTGTTTACCTAAACATCTATTTTGCCTGAAAATGGGATGCCTTTCACATATACTCAGAGCTCTGAAACCTAACTTTTCCTTACCAACACTCATACCAGCTCACAAGAGCCAACTGTTACATTTTCAGGAATCTTGTGACCCAATTGTTAAACATAGTTATTAATAAGAAATTAAATTATACAAGCCAGTAATGAAATACTATATGTAAAAAAAAAAACAACTCAGAAATCATCTCATCACTTCCTACTTATTTTGCCACATCTCCTATTACCTCTGCTCTTGAGATTACTTATGTCTGTCCTATACATATGGTGGAAACACCATGTAATGGTGTGCTACTAATGAACATCTTGTTCCAGCTCCATATTAAGTGATGTCATGCTGATGGCTTAAAATCTGAAAATGTCAATCAACATTTATGTTACACTATACTTGTGGGTCAGTTGAAACCATAGCTAGTTTATGGATACAAAATTTTGATAAAATTTAGACAGAGACAAATATATTTGAAAAAATAAATTAAAATAAAATTTAAAAAAATGTAAAAAAAAGAAACAAAACAAAAAAAATAAAGTTCAATTCCTGAAAAAAAAAATTAATAAAAGTGTTCTGTAAGAATAATTAACTATATTAAAGCTATAATAAATGGTATTATATTTAAGTTATTCTTATGTTTGTATTCTATACATTCTTTTTATCAGTAAAATTTTAAAAACAAGATTATATACACACCTATGTTCTCCCAAATTAGATGGATGTATCCTCATAATGGGATTAATGTTCTCATAAGAAGAGAAAAGCCAGCATCCCCGGCTTTCCACCACATGATGGGTACAATAAGAAGGCTGTCTACAAACCAGAAAGTAGGCCCTTACCAAAAATCCTGATCTTGAACTTCCCAGGTTCCAGAACTATGAGAAATAAGTGTGTCTTATTTAAGCCACTCTGTCTCTGGCAAATTGTTGTGGCACTCCAACCTGACTAAGACACCATATTTTACTTAGCAATGTTTAAAGAATTATATTGAAAGAATAAATGAACAAATATAAATATATAGTTAACTCTTAATTAGACTTTCTAACAGTAGAATGAGATCTGAGCATGGCAATGTCCTCTGTCAATGTACCTTTGCGTAAAGTTAATCAAATTCTTTTTATCCTTCTAGTTTTTGTATTTTTCAATTGAAATTAAAGATGATAACACCCACCATATAAAAATGTGCCATGGGAATTAATAACATAATTTTTTAAAAAGTGACTGATATTACCCTAAAGAATCTAAAAACTTCAGTTGTTGTTGACTGTAATAATTACCATTGTTACTGAGCTCAATAATAATCAAATATCTGCTTTTTTAAATATTTCTGAGTTGAATGTGTACTACATTTTATTTCCCTTAATGTTTTATAGACTGTATGCTTATTCCCTTTACATGGATGTTTTATTTAAAAAGTTACAGTATATGTGATCTTATTTTAGAGAAAATAATAATCAACTCTGTTAAGTTCATCTATATGTCTGCAAAATGACACACTTTTTTCTCTTCCTTTACTAGTACATGCTCATATTTCTATCAAGAAAATAAGTTTGTGAGAGAAAGTAGAGCTATTTTATAAGGAATTAATGAGTTAAGTCTTTGATTCTTTGAGTTCTTGAGGTCCAATAAGATCTGAAACATGTTCTTTAATGACTCAATCCATCCAATAATACAGAAACATGAAGAGAGAATATGAAGTGAATTCTCCTGAAAATGTTGCAGTCTTTGTACATGCATTCACCAGGATTATCAACAGATTTTATTCTCAATGTGGAATCAACTGTCAGCTACTATAAGCAAATTGTTACTAATCATAAGGGTCCAGAGTACAGGAATGGCCTACTTAAAAATACATTAAAATATAATGTATGCTATGCTCACTCATGTTCTATTGTGTCTTTTAAATGAGGTAGGAAGAGATGAGTTTTGGAGCTCATGCCCCAGGAATTTCATGAGAGTTAAGTGAACACACAAACATCATCCATTTCGTGCTTGCATTAGAGAAAGAAAAGATTTGAAAACAGCTGCAAGGAGCAATCAAACAAAAGCTAGAAGATACCACAATGTTCTAAATATGCAAGTCCACTTTAACATTCACCTGGATATCCTTCCAGTTCATGTTTATGAGACTGGCCTCAAGGGGTCTATGGAAAAATTTAGAGGAGTAAGAAACACAGAGTATTCTGTCTGATAAGTAGTAATATCTCAATTAATGCTGATTCCTATGGTGGGTACTATAATTCCCATCAGATTCCACTTCAAGGGAGAAGTTGTGGCCCTAGAGCAAGGCTTCCCATCCTTGGCACTGTTAACAATATGGATCAGATAATTCTTTGTCGTTGAGGCTGTCTTGTGTATTTTGAGATGTTTAGCAGCATCCCCTGACTCTATCTGATGCCAGTAGCATGAGCCACTCATGACAATCAAAAATATATCCAGACATTGTTAAATATCCCCTAAGAGGCAAAATCACCCCTTACTGAGGATTACTACCCTTTAATATAGGACCTAGACCCCAGCAGTTCTATAAGGGATTGTCTTTTCAATCATTGCCTAAGATGCAAAGAGCCACCTCATTCAAGGTCCTGCCCCTTCCCAAGACGGTCCACATCCAGTAATCAATCAATACATAGTATAAAGGCCTTGGATCATCTTAGCTCAATTCACTGCAACACTAATGGTCCCTATCAGCTTCCTCCTGCCCACTTTTGCTCCCTTCCCCTATGCCCTTCTCTTCTCTAGGTATTGATCCCAAGGGCAGACTCTAATAAACATTCTGCATCCTAAAATCTGTCTCAGAATCTGCTTCATGGGGAACCAACTTGAGTTAATTCCCTTCTGCTTCCCTGTTAGGCTCAGTCATATGAATCGTTCTCTCATCAGATCTCTCAGAAGAAAGGACATACTGAATAGTTAATAGCAAATTTCATTTGTGTCAGCTCCCAGCTCTATCTTGGAATCAATCATGCAACTTAATAATTGAGTCTGAATGTACCAACTGCCTTGTCTATTTTAAAGGACAAATAGCTTCATCTGAAAGTGACATCGTTGCCTTGAATGTGAAGGCAAAACAGACATGTAACAGAGGATGATTTTGGTGATATTATTGCATCAATTCAAACAAAAAGGCAATGATAAAGCAGAGATGGAAATACAATATCCTAGAAAAATTATTTTATGTAAGACAATTTTGCATATAATTCATCCAAACTAAATCTCATCCATTAATCATTTGTTATTACTTAAGAGAGAAAGAGACAAAGAGAGAAAGATTGAGGAGAAAAAGAAAAAGATTGAGCAAGTGAGCTCAACTAAGGGATTTTATGACACATAGTCTGTGCTCTTTGTCATAATGAATTTCTGATGGAGCTACCAGAAGTGAGTAGCACGGGATTTCTTTATTTCAAAGATATGTTTAACATAGACACCTCCAAAAAAAGTCCTCTCCTGTGGAAAAATGGTAGTTTGTACCAAAACTCAGGCCAATTAGCCTGTTTGTTTTAAGTGCACATAACTCAGCAGTAGAACCTGTAGAACTTAGGGAATGACATCACCAGCCTAATTTATAAGGCTCCAGATTCTCCTTCCAGCAAAACCCAAGAGAAAGAAGTCTCTGTGTTAATCAGGGATGATCATACAGCCATCAGAAACTTTCTTCATAGCCCTTGACTTTTAGCCAGTTTTTTTTCCCCTGAAATCATCATGTACTTGCTCTCTGGGGGAAAAATAATCATTTGATTTGGAGACTGATAGAGAGGATTTTCCTTTTGTGAAGTTATGGATTTGGAAAATACTTCCTTATTCCATCATGTGCAGTCCAAGTAGATTTGTAAAAACACAAATCCTTAAGGCTGTAATCTGTGTCTCCCATCTTGTTTAATGTCTGCCTCCACTTATCCCATTTCAATATTTGAGGGAAAGGAAGGAAACATCCCTTCACCTTCTTTGTCTTGACACTAATGGGGCCTCAAAACCAAGGCAATGCAACATCTTAACCTTCATTTGCTTTTCCTTGACTCTTGATTCTCAGTTCATATATTTCTGCAAAGGGGGAATTTTGCCCCCTCCATTCACTTATTGCTTATGCAGCAGACTTGTGATCTGAGTAGGTCTGACCCCACCCTCAGCTTCATAGGAAGGTGTTGATTGACCTACATAAACCATGCACACTCCCCATACAATAATAGAAAGATGGATTCTGAATCACTGAGCTGCTATTGTAAACTAACTGTAAAGTGCTCCCAACTTCTATAATCTTCCAATGGCTAATCCAACACTTTTCTTATTTTTTAGTCAGTTTTAATTAGATTTTCTATTATTTGCAATCTATATACCTTCCATTTAAGTGCTTTTAATTATATATCATGTAATTATATATCATGAATTGAATAAGCTGTTGATTACAAAAAAACCCGAAAACATTATTTTGTTGAATTTTATGTACCACTAAGAAAGAGGAAACTCTATGTTAAATGTATCAAGTATTTTCTTATCCTTTAAGATTTTTAGTGGGTACTTATTGAAATTGCTTTTTTGGATTTATTTAAGTAATTTCTTAAGTCACATCTTGTTTCTAGAGTATAGATAAAATGGAGATAAATAGGTTAAGTTTTTCTAAAAGCTCCTCACATTCAGACTCTAGTACTTCTGAATCATTTTTCAAAACAGAATCATTGGTATAAATTTTCCAGAGTTTTATCCTTGTGCTCTCAAGAGTGGTGGTGTTGATCTTATCCTTCATGAGTGCTTCACTATTGACTCTGAACTTTTTTTCTAAGCCCCTAACATAACACTCTCTCTGAAGTTGTGAAGTTGATTCCTTCATTGCCAATAAAGTTTTTTCAGAGAGCATCCAAGAAACACACCTCCTCCTCAAATGGCTGTTAATAAGTTCCTTGGTTG